GCGACCGCGCAGCGACGCCACGTCCGTTTGGTAGCTCTCGGCGCTTGCCCGCGCCCCCGGCTCGAGGCCGGGCCAGTCTCATGCGCCCTGGTGCCTGCGCGCCAGCCGCGCGCTGCCTGTCCCTGCAGCCACCGTCATCTGCTGCCTGCCTGGTCCCTTCGGTGCCTCCAGGACGGCAGTCAGGTGTCTACACCCACTGTCCAGTGGCAGAGGGGGTTGGGAGGGTGGGAGCAGAGGGAGCGCCTGGACCAGCTGGGTCGTGTCCCAGAAGGCCCCCTCAGTTACCCCACAGCAAAGAAGGCCCAGTGCCCAAACCTAGACTGCAGGTCAGGAAGATACCCGCATCTCCTTAACTCGTGTTAATCGTACTCTTCCTGCCTGCTGCAGGAGTCACCATACAGTGCAAGAAGTCGATGTCTCTTTCTTGGTGACAATAACAACAAATACAGGGAGCGCAGTGGAAAGATTCCTGGCCTCAGGAGGCCCTGGTAAAACAGGACTCTAGTGCCAGCTCTGCCTCCCAGTTACCCAGACACCTGGAGCAGGTTTTCCTGTCCCCTCGGGTCCTCTGTTTCCTGGATGATCTTGCAACTGTCCCAAATGCTGATGGCCCATCTTTTGTGTCATCTGTCCCTACTGAAGATGAGCCCTGGACTCCTGTAAAGACCTGGAGAGGGCGCCACAGTGGGGTTCACTTTCCATGGAAGGAGCTGGGAAAGGTAGCGCTTTCATCCCGTGGGGCTGTCTCAGACGCCTGGCATGATGCCAGCCTGGGCCCTGGGGCTGGCTTCCGTGGCTTCCCCAAGGAGCTTGTGTCGAGGATAGTTATTAATAAACAGTGGCAGGAAGCAGCCGGCAGTCTTGGTTTTGACAAATATAATAATTTGAGTAAAAAGTTGGTGGAAACCAGACCTTTCTGCAGGGGTCCCAGGTTTGCGCTGTTCTCTGGCTCAGGCTGCTGCCGGAGCTGGCTGGTTTGCAAAAGGGCTTGCTGCTGCCATAGAGTCAGCACATGCTTGGGGATGCATCGTGCTTGCCTTTCAAACCCCTGGGTTGACTCTACTTGAGTCATCCTAGGAGGCCCCTGGTCAACTGGGCTATGGCTGCCTTTCTTTTTCTTCTCTATTCCTCCACATGCAAAAATGACACCCGGGAGGACCCATGATGATTGATGGGTAAAAATACAGCCTCAGCGACTTAGTGAGACCCTGTCTCAAAATTAAAAAATAAAAATCATCCAGGCGTGATGGTACATACCTGTAATCCCAGTGGCTTGGGAGGCTAAGGCAGGAGGATTGCAAGTTCAAGGCCAGCCTCAGCAACTTAGTGAGGCCCTAGGCAAATTAGCGAGACCCTGTCTAAAATAAATAAATAAATAAATAAATAAATAAAGGGCTGGGGATGTAGTTCAGTGGTGAAGCACCCCCTGGCATCAATCCCCAGTACCAAAGAGAAACAAAAAATAAAAAGGGTTGGGGATGTAGCTCTGTGGTAAAGTGGTAAAGTGCCCTGGTTAAAAAAAAAAAAAAGGAGACGCTTCTAAGCTAAGAGGATCCAGCCGTCTTCTGTGGAGACCGATAGACTCCATTCTCCTTTCCTCCACCTGACTTTGGTGTTTTTGTCAACAAAACCATTATCCCCTTATGCTCACACCTTTTTGAGCTGGGAATATTAACTGTGCTAATTGTACACCTCAGCGGGTGCCGTGACACTTCATACGTGCGTCTGTCCTGCTCCGTGGTCCCCCCCCTCCCTGCGCTCTCTGGCCCTCCCCTTTCTCCCCTCCCCAGACCCCTTCCCTGATCCCTAATAGTTCCTCTTTTCCTTTGGGGTCATCTTTTTCAGTTTCCACAGGAGAGGCTTGTCTTTCTGTGGCTGGCCCATCTCACTTACCACCGTGGCCTCCAGGCCAGCCACCATTCCTCACTTCCTCTCCCCCCTCATCCTCTGCCCAGGGTCCTGCAGACTTGACCCCCTGGATTACTCCTCTTCCTCCGCCCCCAGGCCCCCAGCTTGCCTTTTCTCACCCGTGCCCCCTGTGGGAGGCTCTGCCTGCCTGATCCCTTCCCCGCTTCCTGAAGGGAGCTCTAACACAGAGGCAGAGGCCGACTCCGCACTCACTGGGCCTCCTTTTCAGCCTCCTGCCAGCCTCCCCTCACTGGGTTCTGCTCTGTGGACTTAGGCTCCCACTCACCTTGCCTGCGTGCTGGGCCCTCCTTTTGAACCTCTGCTCATGCCCACCTTCTGCTTGGCACACTCCCTCCAACTTACCTACGTCAAATTCCCCTTTCCCCCCCATTTCAGGCTCCCCTCCACCCCCAGGACTTGCTTCTGCCCCCACAGGGCCATTGAGAAGCTCCCCACTGCTGGCTCCGTCTGGAACATGATGGCCCTTCCTGCCCTCGCTCTTTGGCAGTCCACTGTCCACGCCCTCACTGGTCTCAAAGGGAAGCCTGTCCCTGCCGTACTTGAGATCCCCCAAGGTCCCCATGGCCTCACCCATGGAGCCAGGCTTCCCTTGGAGTCAGGGCCCTCCCTGCCTCACGGCCACCGTCCCCTCCTCTCGCCCCTGCAGGTGTGCAGCGCTCTGAGGAGCAGCCTCTCCTCCCATCCTGCTGCTCTGCCTGGGGCCCTCTTCTGCTTGTTTGTCTGGCTCCCTCCTTAAATCTCCCCTCCCCGTGCCTTCGCCTTCCTCTGGAGAACTTCCTTTCCTCTGGTCCACACGTCCTAGAAGAGCTCATCCCAGCATCCTGCCCCACCCAGCCAGAGCCGAAGGCCTGCACCCCAGGGATTGGCTCCTGAGGGTGGCATGTGACCCAAACTGGGCCAATCAGGAACTTTCCCTGAGATTCTGTCACATCGAGAGGGAAGAGCCCTCTTCCACCTTTGCTGTTACTGGCTGAGGTGACCGAAGCCCCGGGGAGGCCTTTAGTCATGCCCAGTCCCTCCCCCAACCAGTGGATGGAGCTGCACGGTGTCCGGAGAACGTGGGGCCATGGCAATGAAAGAAGCTGAGCAGAGAGAGAAACTGAATATTCCGGTAAGTTGCTGGATCCAGCTACACCTGAAGCCAGGAGGACTCAGTCTTCCTAGTTTCTCCAGCCAATAAATATTCTTTGTTGATTTTAGTTTGTGTAAGTTTCTTTACTATTTAACTAAAAGGGTCCCAACAGATACAGGGGCCAGCCTGAGTCCCACAGGATTAGGGCTTTCCCTCTGTGCTGCTTTCCAACAGCACTCACCCCTGAAGAGTAGAATTACCCTGTGTCAGGTGAGGGTGGTTTCTTTCTGAGTTTCTAATACAGTGAGAGTTTCGTCAGTGAATGGGTGAGGAATCAGTGGGGGCAAGGCCGATCATCCCCACAGCAGACATTGAAGACCCCTGCCGGCCGCCGGCTCCTCCCCATGGTGGGATCCACAGGCTCCCTCTTCCCCACACGGCCCCCCTTTTGCCCTGGAGATAAGGTTTAGTGGGCACCTGCACCTGCCAGAGGCCACGCTGGATGCCCGGCCTGTTGTTACCTTTGGTCTTCACGGGACCCCCCCCTTTTAACAACCAGGGTCCTCAGACTCAGGGGGGTGAAGAATGGCGGGTGGTGGTCAAACGGCCTACGTCCCAGGCCCCTGGACACCCACCCGGGCTCAGCTTTCTGCCCCACACCCTGAGCTGATGACCCCATGACTCTCACCGGGGGTCCGTGGGCTCCCCAGCCCTCCTGCATTTGGAAACCACTGGCTTCCGGGAGCCCAGAGCATGTTCTCTGGGACCCTCTAGGTCTCAGGGGACCAAAGTCCCGTTTGCTCAAGGGTGGGGCCTGGATGCCCAGGGGAGCACGGCAGGGGGATGGCAGGGGGACGGCAGGGGGACGGCAGGGGGCTGTGGAGAAAGCAAAGCATTTGCTGAGGAGTTCCTCTTAAGAAGCCCGACACCCCTCCCAGGCCTGGTCGGATGCCTCTGGAGCATTTACTTAGAACCTGTGACTTTGCTTACTGGCCCTAAGATTCCCAAAGGAGGGGACAGAGATGGAGAACCGAGCAGTCCTGTGGCCACCACCCTGCTCCGTGCTGCCACCTCTGTCCCCTGACCCCACACTGTCCTCCCACGTGGCCCAGCGGCCTCCCTCTGGGCCGTCCTCCGTGGGCACAGTCCCCTGCTTCTCAGTGACCTCAGGAGGAAGGCCGGAGTCCTTAAGGTGGAGGCCCTGACCGCCAACGGCTGTGTCCGTCTCAAGGTCTTGCCACCCTTTAGTGCAGCTGTTCCTCTCCTGGGGACATCGTGTGTGCTGCCCCTGCTGCCTGGAGGGGCCTCTGTGTGCACACAGACCCTGGCCGCCTCCTGCGCATTCTCAGGGTCTCAGCTTCACGGTCACTTTCTCACACAGGCCCCCTGACAGCTCCTTCCCCTCCAGAGTCTAGTTAGTTCCTCCTGTTATCCCTCTTATGAAGTCTATTCTGTTCCTGGGAGGGTCGTCTGCTCCACAGTCATTCTGCAGCTATCTGTGTGTTTAGCCTCTGTTTATCCCGCCTGCGTGAAAGCCCTGGGAGGACGGGCTTGCGTCGGGTTCCTTTGCTGCTCCGTGGGCAGCACCTGGCACAGGCCGAGTGTAGACAAGCAAGTGCTCAAGCTGTGCCCATCCGGGCCCCGCCTTCGGCCTCTGTGGACACCACTGCTCTCCGCGGGTCCCTGCAGACTGGCCCTCAGGCTTTGGCACCCAGGAGGTCTCGCTGCCCCCGAGGGGTCACTAGCAGTTCTTTGCCTCCCGCGTGGGCATCAGGGTCACCGTGGGGGTCTGATCCTAGAGAGCACCAGGGGCCATGCTGCAGGTCCTGGTGGACAGGGAGCTGGGGTGCAGCCAAAGCACCTCAGTTAAGAGGCTGGGTAGAAAGGGTCCCAGGAAGGGCCCGCCTGCCCCTGGACGCACAGACGGGGCACCACTGTGCGAGTGTGGCTGTCCCTTCTGCCACTCTGCACCCAGCTCGGCGCGCCCTCCCCTCCCCCATGTTGTTCTTTCCAGCGCCCATTCCATACCCAAGCCCTGGGGGGTTGGTTTTGCTCCCTTTTGGACAGGAATAAAGCACAGGTCCACAGGCCCGGTCACCACCATGAGGTCGGCAGTGACAGGTGTCATGCGCGTCTCACTAAGTGCCTTCAGTCCACGTGTCTGCAGCTGTCCTCTCCCCGGCCCCTCCTCAGGTCCATCCCGGCACGTGGCACTCTCTGTGCCACAGATTTTCAGGACTTAGCAGGTGCCCCCTCCGGCAAGCACCAGGCAAAGGGCCAGAAACGGAAGGCCAGCCCTGCGGGGCATTACTGGGCCCTGGTCAACATGGGGCGGGGCGGTCTCGAGTGCTCCATCGGGACTGATTTCCTCTCCAAGTCGGGGTCTCTGTGTGGTGACCCTCCTGACATTTTGGACACGGCCAGTCTTTGTGTGTGTGTGTTGGGGGGTCACGGGATGCTGAGCAGCAGCCCTGGTCTCCAGGCTCTGGATGGCAGGAGATTCCCTAACCAGCTGTCTGTCCAAAATGTCCCCAGATGTCATCCAAGTCCCCCTGGGGGCAAAATCACAGCCAGTACAGAACCACTGCTAAAAGAAGTGCTCCCTGTGTCTGGCGGTGAGGAGCCCGCTGCCCCTGGGCCCTCTGCCGGCCACCTGGACGGCAGCCCCAGGCAGGGAGTGGACACCCCGCCCCCGGTCCTGGGGGTGCAGTGCGTGGTGTGAGCTCTGGGACCAGGACCCTGGGCTGAACTCTCAGATCTGTCACCGCTCTCATTAGACTCAGCAAGTCCCTCCTTCTCCCTGTCACCACCACATCTGTGACGGGCAGACTGAAGCGGTGAGCTCATTCCCGGACTCTGGTGAAGATCAACCACTCTAAAAACGTGACCGGTGATCACTGCGTTTTTCAAAGTCTGGCCCGAGTCCATGTCCGCCCCCCACCTCTGAACACAAAGGATCGATGGCCCGGGTCTTGCCTCAAGAAAATGCCTGAAGCGGGCATTTTCAAAGGGCACCTTGGGTCCCTTGCCAAGATCAGCTGGCAGCCAAGGAACCAGTGACGGTCCCGCACTTCTGTGGGTACAAAGTTGGTTCTGGGGTGCCCTCTCCCCTACCAATTGCTGACGCTACAGCTTCAGGCCACCCCTGCAGCAGCCCAGCTCGCTGCCCACCCTGGAGTCCCCATGGGCCCCACGCAGCAGCTGCCCACAGTCACCTGACACTCAGGCCGGGGGACCTCCAGGGTTCCCATTCCTGCTCTGCCCCCTCCTGAGGCCTGCTTCCCCCTCTGTGGAATGAGGGTAGTCAGGGCATAGACCCTCCAGGGCCAGTGTGCAGGACGCGCCCAAATGCCAGCCGTTGACCCTGTTATTACTAATTTAATTTTACAAGAATTCAGAAAACAGAAAGCAGGTGACAACGGGACCGTAACCAAGTCCCCTGCATCCCTCCTCTCGGGGCCTCTGGTGTGTCTGGCTGGTGTAACCATGCCCCGCGAGCTGCTGGGAGAGACGGGTGTCCTGTCCCCAATTTGCTAGAGACTGAGGAGGGTGGGAAGGGAGAAGGCGGAAGCCCCGGGCCCTGCCACGGCTGGGCTTGCAGCTGCCAGAGGAGGATGACTGGGGGCAACCTGCGAGAAGCAGACCCGGGGGAAGCAGCGAGGGCCAGGCCTGAAGGGTGGAGGGGCCCTGGGGTGGAGGGGCCCTGGGGTGGGTGCCAGTGCAGGCAGGAGCCCCGCCGTCCCTCGCAGGCGTGGCCCAGGGCTCAGCTCCAATGCAGGCCAGGGGTTTGGGGGGCCAGCGGTGCTCCCTTGAAAGACCAAGGCAATGCCGCGCCTCAGGGCGGGCAAGGAAGGGCGCGGGACAGCGCTGCAGGAGGGCTGACCTAGGTTGGCAGCTCCTCTTCATCCACCTCCTCCTCGAAGCCTCTCTCTCTCTCCTCCTCCTCGTCTTCCATGTCTGAACCTCTTGTCTGCTAAAGAAGAGAACAGAATGTGGGTGCAAGGCAGGCCCTCCCCGTTTCTCCGACATTGGCCCCACGTGGCCTGAGGCAGCCCTGCCTGAAGCCTGCCAGCTCTGCCCGGGCGAGGGCCTGTGGGTGCTCAGGGCTGGCGGGGTGAAATTGACGGTCCTGCGCCTGCTCTTCCTCCTGGGGTTTCACCTGCATGTGGACACGACACCTTGCAGGGCTGACCTAGGGCTGGAAATAAGGGGTGCAGGGTGCCATCAGAGACAGCCGCAGGCCCGGGGATGCTTTCTGTCCACCGGAGATTGGAGGCAACTGCAGAGACTAGGAAAGGGGGAGGAAGGGCGTGCCAGGCCGAATCGGGGCCCGGGCCAGGACCTCAGGCCTTCCGAGGCTCAGCCTCACCCGGAGTGTTCAAGCTGAGGGGAGGAATACATTTTGGGGATGAAGGCACCCAGCACAGGGCCTGTTGGCCATATCACACTGTAAAAGGTGGCCAAGGTCGCCTTCGCCTCCTGAAGGGCTGGATGGGCCAGGGGGTGGGTGGGAGGAGCTGCGGCAGAGAGCAGGATCCCCGCCTCTGCAGACGGAGGGAGCTCTCTGCCCTCCCGCCCCACTCAGTGCGAGAACAAAGGGGCCCCTCTCCAAGTGCTTCCAAATGCCAAACGCCCCCCACAAGCACCAGCTCCTTAGTCCAGCGGGAGGGGGGCCAGGAGGGGTGTTCTCCCCCCACCCACTCCACCAGCCACCAAGAGCTGCCCACACCAACCATCCAGCTTCACGGGGGGTGGGGGTAGGGGACAAGGTCAAGGGGCCTGCAGTCACACAGGGCCTGAGCTTGGAAGTCACACCGGGCCTGCACTTGGTCATCGCCCTGGGGACACTTTTTCAGATGCTAAGTGCTGTTTCAACAGGGGCCCATATTTTCACTTTGGGTGTGTGCAGGGACGCAGGCCGGCACCACGGAGCAGCCGGTCTGGGTCTGAGCATCCCTGACTTGGCCTTCTCTCCACCATGATGAGCTCCCGTTCCTCCCCACCTCAGCCTCTTCTCCGGGGCCCCTCAGGACCGAGACACGGGCAGACTAGGCCTTGTTCTCCCTCTGTCCCCTGAAGAGGGACTGGAAGGTGACCACACTCTCTTACACCAGCCAGGCAAGTGCCCTGCCTCACAGCCACATCCCCAGCCCTTTCTGTTTATTCATTTACTCTGAGACAAGGTCCTGCTAAGTTGCCAAGGCTGGCCGTGAACTTGAGATTCTCCTGCCTCAGCTTCTCGAGTGGCTGGGGTCACAGGCGTGTGCCACTGCACCCCGCTCACTAGACACGACCTTCACAGCTCATGCTCCTCATTCTCCAGACGGAAGTGCGGCCACCAGCCCCGGAGATACAGCCAGGAGGTCTTCAGAGCCAGCCCCAGGGCCGGACAGTGACCACAAGGTCGCTCCCGACACATGGCTGTGCGAGCCAGAGGGGGACCCAGGGCCAATGCCGCAGCCCTTCCCTCCACGGCCTCCAGGACTCGCCGCTGACAGCTGGCCGTGCCCGGGGCCCTCATTCACTGGGTCACCACGCATGCTCAGATGCACCTGCCGTGACACGGGGACACCCTGCCCTCAAGGAGCCTGAAGTCCATTGGGAGGCAGAACCCCAGGAAGGAGCCAGCCATTCCTCCCAGTTGCCAGAGGGACAAATGAGGTCACCCAGGGAGTCTGCAGGCGGGCAGAGCCGGCCCGGCCCCCCAGCCCCCACGGGTCCCTGCCGAGGCGCCTACGGGCTTGGGCTTCTTCTCCATGGCCTCTGCCTCCTTCTTCTTCAGCTCCTGGAAGATGACGCTGAAGAACTCCGCCTCGGCCTTGGCCACCAGGTCCTGCAGGTCCACGGCCAGCTCGTCGGCCCGCTGCTCATCGTCCTTGCCCTCAGCCCTGCCCTTCTCCTTCAGCCGCATCTCTCGGTGCCTGGCCTCCAGGATCTTCTCCCGCCGGGTCTCGCGCTCAAACATCTGAGGCACAGGGGACAGAGGCCAGAGGGGAGGGTGGGCCAGGCGGGGCTTCTACGGAGCCGTCCTCACGCAGGGCCAGCGTCCAGGAAGGACAGCTCAATACTGGGCAGAGGCTGGCGCAGGGAAACCAGTGTTCAATGCCCAGGAGCACCAAGCACACGGGCCACAGGCCAGGGGCCCCGGGTCCAGGGTAGGACCAGCGCAGTGGAGAGGCTCCAGTCTCAGCCAGAGCCCGGAGGCTCTCCCAGGCCTCGAACTGGGGGCTTTCAACCCCACAGTGAGCCCCCAGCTGCTCCCAGGGCTGCCCAGGGAGGTCCCTTCCATCTGTCACCTCTATTGACATCAGCTAAGCCTTCATTAGAACTGATCTGATGCCAAAAAATAATTT